TTCAGTATGGATCCTGTGCAGTGTTTTATAAATGAGACCCCAGGAAATGTAGATGGGCCAAACATGTTAAGCAACAAACAGCATGTTCGAAACCCTTGTTTTAGCCTTTGGTGTTGACAAACTGAACAAATGCAAATAAATGTAGTAAAAAATAGCATTTTTTATCATTTTACTGTTGAAATAAAAAGATATTTGTGGTCACACATCTCTCTTGACCTGTATCTTTCTCCGTCTTAACGCCCTCTCCCACACATCTCACCTCATGACGTTTTCCATCAAGGTCAAGGAAGTGTTGAAGGAAAGACATAGGATAAATGTTTTGACGACTCAACCTTAGCCCAGATGCTTTGGAAAGCTCCTAAAAATGGTCCGAACGGCGTCTCATGAGAAGATGTTTCATAAACGATATGATTGGTGGTGTTGCTATACTGATTTGTACATCCTGCCTGATCTGATGGGATGAGAGGGACGCCAAATGGCTCACTTGATAGCTACTTCTAGATACAATATATAGTTCACACGTTTTATACCTGTATGTTTGAGTTACACATGCTGGGTCACTTGGAGGTCGTTTCTGGACCGTATGTGGCCCCCGATCTTCTCCTTTAAGCAGTCAGAGAAGTTTGACGTGAGTGAGCCTCGGTGTGGTAATTGTTGAGGCTTTTAAAGTCGCCCACTGTCTGCAGACTGTGAAGCATGTCATTCTGTTAATTTATCCTCCAGCATGTGGGGGCTCATCGTGAGGCCGAGGACACAGTGCGAAGTGTCTGCCAGTCTCTTTTCAGTCACAAACCAAAGATGTGTTTGTGTGTTCTGGTGGCGTTTGGAAGGTTTCCTGATCACTGACAGAGTTCAACTGAAAAATAATGTGTTTCAGGAGAGGTGTGTGACTTCATGCAGACCTGTGAATGTTTGGTGTTTGTGAAGACGAGCAGGACTTGAGACTGTTCTTACCACAATAGTGCACACTGGGCTGAGAGCAAAGCAGATTTGGTTGCTTGTAAATCTGGACGCAGGGCAAGATTAGGATTAGGAAGTTTGCTTTACAACTACAAAGGTTTTAATGTGGCTGTTCTGTTTGCTCACCGGGTCTCATTAAAAGTGCATCCTGACCCAATTTTCGTTGCTTGTAATCCGAGGAGTTTGAGGCTTATGCCACTCTAAAGCTCACAGTAAATCACTCTGAATTACAGCTTCAGGTAAATGTTTGGAACCAAATGCAGCCTGGCAAATGCAAATTAGTCTGTAAACTCTCAGTTCACTTCAGTTTCCAAGGGTCTTTATCAGCGGCTGCCTCTGGGTGCAGCCGAACAGACCTACAACCAATCAGAGCGACGGAGTGTGATGTAGTGTGGGCAGACTGCAGCGTGCAGAGCTAAGCTGTGATGGTGAAGCATCAATGTGACTGTAGATGACTGTTGTTGTTTCTGCCGTCAGCATTGAAAATAGTACTTAAACGATAGGTTTCAATTCAGCTGCAGCCATCTTGGTTGTTCCAACAGCGCTCCCCTTTTTGAAGCTATAGGAATAATTCAGGAAAAATCTGTAAAATAGGAAGTTTAGTGACATCACGGTATTGATGGTTTTTGATTGTATTATATGGGATTTTTCTTTTTTGTTGCAAAACCTTTAATTTCTGTAAATGAATTGTTTTCGCGCTTGAATTACAATATTTTACCTTAATTTTATGTTTTTGTGTTTGGCAGCCACTGACGCCAGTTATTTGATTGTTTTCCAATTTTAATAAAAATGTTAGATTGTAATAATTCAGGAAAAAAAAATATGTAAAATAACTGCATTTCTGTGTAGAACTTTGAGTGACATCACTCTATTGAAAGTGTAATAATTTAGGAAAAACTTTGTAAAAATTACACCGTTTTCCTTCAAAACCTTCAATGAAAATTTCTGTATATTATTTTTTTTTAAACGTGCAATATGTAATTTTCTGCCGCTAGGGGTCTCAAACCAAAACAATAACATAAGACAGAGTTGGATGATGTCACGAAGTAGTGTGGGATCATGGGAGTTGTAGTCATATAACAGATACAGATCTGCCGCTGGCCGGAGCGCTGGTCCCCCCAGCTGGCAGCAGTGCTTGCAATACACTGGTAGAAATGATTAATATTTCGATAACATCAGCCAGATGTTTGCTTACCTGTCTAGTAGAACACACGTGAGGTCGGCGTCGAATTGTAGTCCTATATTTTCACAAAGCGCTCTCTATCTCGGAAAGGCCACACCAATATTTATCCTTGATTTAGCTCTCTTCTTATCCCAAATTCTTCTGGGATCGCTTGGTTGACCCATACGTTTCCGTTTTACCAGCTTGTTTACCGGGACAGCTTTGGTGTCAGATCATCATAATCATGATCCATGACGAGTTAGCTTAGCCTAACAACAGTAACGTTCATTCTCTGACGTCTCATCCGGTCTGCTTCTTTTTCTTCTCCTTCATTTAATGTCTATGGTAACTGGAGTTACGTTGCCATTGCGACCTAATGACACGGTCCGTAACTTATATTAATATTTCATATTTATCTGGGTTTGAAAAATTGTTGGAAACATTTCTGATAATCAAAGTATACAACTAAACAAAATATATAATATTGGTTTAGTCGTTTTTAGACATTTTTATGTGGAAAAACTACATATTATACCTATAATTAACCTCCTTTTTATTGTTTCATGTTTCAACATGGGTATTAATTTGGCCTTAGTAGATCAACTGACGGTGAAAATAAATTGATTAAGAGAGGAAAAAAAGTAATAATAATAATAAAATTAAATTGAATTAAATTTGATTTAATTTAATTAAAATAAGTAAAAAAAAAATAATGAAAGATAAAAATTGCAAAATAAACTGTTCACAAAAAAAAGAAAACAATTAATGTGTAGGGTCCATGACCCAGTAGATGTGCACAAAAAAACTTTCACTTAGTCAGGCAGGGAAGCTCAGGCACCAATGGTTGACTGTTTGGCATAAAGCATTTTTGCTACTGACATCTCCACACGTTATATCCAGTAGGGATTATAGCCAGTGATTATGGGAGAGAGAGTGAGGAGGCTGCCAGCTAAGTGTTAATTTTTTTATTCTGCTTTAAAGCCAACAAAAAGTGTTGTAATTTTATTGCTTAATTTAAATTGCAATACTGGTATTTTACTTAAATATTTACAGTTTTTGTTTGGCAGCCATTGCCATTTTTAAAAATTGTTTTTACAGTGTAGATTTATGCTTGCTGTAGTGTCCCAGTGTGATGGTGAGTGAGCTGAAACAGGATGTCATTGCATATTTGAGTGAAGTGAAATTCTCCACAAGTTGTCAGTCATAGTTTCAAACCTGCCCCATAAAATAGTAACAGTTGTGATTGGCCCAACCCATCTGAATCCAGCTTTAAGTCTGCTGCCCAGTCGGCAGAACAAAATGTTGGCATTGAATGTTTTTGTAAATCATAAATACATTACATTTGTATGTTTCATATCAATGTTACTAAAGTGATGTGCGGTCTGACTTTGGGGATAGGAGGTACCATGACACCTGGGTGAGACATCTGCAGACCACTCTTCGAGACCAACAAACAGCAAAACTGTTCAGTCGGTTTTGTGCCCCATAAACCAGGTATTTCAAGCAAAAACATAATCTTTTCCGAACTATATTCAAGTGGTTTTTATGCCTAAACTTAACCAAATACCACGGCGTTACTAAAACTTTGCCCTATATATTAACATGCTAATGTTACATATCCGTAGTTTGCAGAAACGTACAGTGCCTTTCTGGCGATTGGGTTGAAATGTCTTTGAACAGGAGGGAGACCAGATGCATCTGTCAGAGGAAGTGAAATGAGCTCACAGATTCATCTGCTCCCCAGGCTGTAGGTGTAAACTACATGCTCATGAATATCCCAGGTAGTGTAAGCTTGACCTTTATGTTGTGCTGTAGTGACAGTAGTGTTGATGTATGACAGTGCTGTGGCGTCTGCTCGCAGACTAACACAGGAGAGAAGTGATCATATGGAACCAGTCAGGAAGCAGAAGCAGTAACCCAAATCTGCCAACAGCCCGTCCCACGTGAACGATAGAAATAGCACCGTTCTAGGTCGTTCTTTAATAACTGCAGAACTAACTTCATGGCACTCTGCTTGTGTGTGTGTGTGTGTGTGTGTGTGTGTTCCAAGCTTCCTAAGGCATTTTTCTTCCCATAAGGTGATTGAAACTGTCTGTGGAGAAAGAGAGAGTACGACATCGTGGCTGTAACACAGGAACACAAAACCCTCTGGAGGTGAAGGAGAGGCCAAAATATGTGTTTTATTTGATCGATTTCACCTTAAATCCACTCACTTGAAAAATTCTAGCATTTATTCAGTCAGAAAAGCGGCAGTAAAACACACTAAGCTCCTTTATGAAACGGACAGCATTACCGTTTTACATAAATAGTGTGTGTGTGTCTGTGTGTGTGTGTCCCACTATTAAAGGAAAACAACTTTCCTGTCCTGTCCTAAAAACAAGGTCAAAGACCTCGTAGTGGAGAACTTCATTATAAAATCAGCCTCTATCAACCCGCACGCACAAACACACACACTAACACACACACTAACACACACAGGACACCTTGCAGCCAGAGATAGGTCCCATAAAGTGTGCCATGCATCGATTTTGTGGTCTATTTTGCAACAAGATGTATGTCTCTGCTCTGAGGGGGAATCGAGTGCTTTTGTCCTTGGCCTTGTTAAAGTGATTTCTCATCACCGTGGTCGTCCTTAGTCTGACACTGATGAGGTCACAGCAGGACAAACAGCTTCGACTGGACAGTTTACACACAAATATGGAGACTCCTATTCTAATATTTTAGACAAAAAAAATCTGAGGTTTGAAATGACAAACTCTACACTGGCATCCTCCACAACAGTTTCCTGTGAAAATATCTCATCTGCTTTGGCAGATAAAAACCCAGTTCCACATGCGTATAGCAGCTGAATGTATTTGTGTTTGTCTCTTTCCTGCAGTGGACACAGAGGGCAGGAAGTTGAAGGGAGGCATCCAGAGGAGCACAGAGACGGGTCTGGCCGTAGAGATGCCCAGCCGGACGGTCCGGCAGGCCAGCCACGAGTCTATAGAGGACAGTATGAACAGCTACGGCTCCGAGGGAAAGTAAGTCACTCATCAACACAAACACAAGCTGAAGTCTAACTAAATGACACTGTAGTCAGTTTATCGGAATCCAACACTATTAGATAATATTTCATGACGACGCATTGACATGTGTTTAGGAACCTTTTTTTAAGTCCATTTTGTTTCTTACAATTATTTAAGGTAGTTTTGCCTTTTATTGGAAAGCTGATAGCTGCATCTCAGCACACTGAACTGCCAACTCTGTCAAAAACATCCCGCTCGACTTCACCACACCACAGACTGTAGGGGTTGTAGCTGCTGTTTTAGTGGGCCGATTGTACGTCACGTTAAATCAAAGAACGCTTGCCATACACATGGTATTTTTTTGTATTGATTTGCAAATGAAAATTATTAAACACAGGCACTGCTTGACTGTTTGGATACTACTTGGTACTGGGTAATTTACCTTTAAAGGTATCGAGTACCAACACCCAGCCTTGGGGCTCAGTTCCGACACATACACACAACACACTCCAATCTTGTAACAGATGCTTGGTCAGTAGCCCTTCAAAGTATGACACTCTAGGTACCCTCTAGTTTCCATTTTGGACACTTCCCCTGTATTTTTCTGCTTGGCACATGCATTGTTTCTTTTTCTAATAAACTTAACCCAGCATAGTTTTAATGTTTTTGGGATGTCCAGGTAGCTCACTGGGTGAAGCGGCACAGGTTTGTGTCCAGCCCAGCCAAGCTAATGAGAAATCAACACAAATCAACAACTTAGCCAACACACAACAATTATAAATAAGCAAAAATAAAAGGTTACGCTATGTGCAAATTTTTTTTTGGTACTGTTTTCTGGATGCCCTTTGTCCTTTCATTTTTGCTGCGTGTTTATGTATGTTTACACAGTTAAAATAACTTAACATTGACTTTTGGTTTCACACGGTGAAAGTCCTGTGATTGTTTCACCCCCAGTAATCGGTACCTAAATGTTGAGGCAGAGCGTACTGTCTGTAGCTCTGGTTGAGGGTGAGAGGCTGTCAGCAGATAAACAGAGATCTGCGTGGGTACATGAGACCCTAAAAAAGAGGGTGGATCATGGGGAGTACCACCAGTTGGTCCAGGAGCTTCTCCTCCATGATGGCTGTTTCCAGGAATATTCTGACTCAGGGGCAGTCAACCTGCTGTCTATCGTCAGGCCATATAGCTCTGGGTATCCAGCAACCACTACCACCAGTTTCTCCTCCATTGTTTACCACAGAAGGCCCGCCTCTCAAATCATCTTATTGGACAATGGCATAAAAAAGAGGTGACGTGGGGCGCTTTTCCGCTCTAAGTTGTTTTTTCAACTCAGGTTTCAATGCAGAAACACGAGGCGCGTCACAACTCAAAAAACGCAAGCAAAAAGCTTCATTCTCATTGAAAACAATTACAAACAGCCGCCTCCAGCTGCTGAAATGCTTTCTGTGTGATCGAGGCCTGAGTCATCTTCTCTGTCTGTGTGTCTGGAGCACATCTCAACAATTTGAGGAACAAACTCCCATGAAATTCAGAGGATTCTTTAGCATTCGTGCAGTTTTGCACTCAGAAATCCATTTTACTTCCCTGCCTGAAATATCTCCTGCTCGTCTGTCACTATCATCCATCTGACAGAAACAGTCAGCGGGGGAGATGGCACACAGAGAGAGTAAAGCCCAGTGGAAAAGCAGCACCTATGACATCAGCAATACTAGTGTAGTACTACTGAACACACACACACACACACACACACGGACACATGCAGATCAGTGCCAACCTGGCTACCAGCTTGAATTCCTACAGTTACATAACGAGAGGAGACAGACAGACAGACAGACTGACTGACGGACTGATTGGGGCTGGGAGGGTTTAACGATACACAGAGGAGCGAGGAAAACAAGGAGAGGTAGAGACTCACAGAGGATGATTGCATCATTGAGAGTGTTTGCATGAATATTAATATTCCATTTATATTTGGAATATGTAGATATTTTGTTTATGAGCTGCTGCATGGAAACGTTAGCTTGTATCTTAGTTTATACAGGCTGATGTTGGGTTACTGAAGCGAAGCAGTATACAGTATAACTCAGCAGCTGTATAAAAGAAAGAGGTATTAGTTGTTTTGTGTTATTGTCAGATCGACACCAGGATCATTATCAGAATATTATTAAACATGTAAACAAACTCAGAGAAATAATGAGGAAGTATCAGACGGAGATAAAGAGGGAGGTGTGACCTTTGATTTCACACTGAGCCTCTTTGGTTCAACAGTGTTTCTCCTCTTCCTCCTCAGCCAAGTGGACTCAACTAAAAACACAAACCGATCACATATTATTTTGTCCACTCACAGTCTCGCCTGCAACGCTGCTCTGATAGAAACATAATGGCACCAGTGTTATGTTTTCTATTAACATAATGAGGTAATGTTGTTCATTAACATGTCTGGTAGGTTGAAACTGGATCAGTAAAATGTTCACAGGTGACATTCACAGTATTTGGTTGAACTTGGGGAAAGATTGTGGTCTTGGTTAAAGAGATACTTTGCCGATTTTCAACCAGCTTTGTATCCTAACAGTGTGGGTAGTATGTGTGAATAAACTGTGGTAAACTTCCCTCCATGTTACCAACGCCTAGATCTCCCTGCTCATCTCATAGATCAAATCTGCTCCGCCAGGTCTCACTCCGAAGTCATGGAATACTGGCACTTAGTCAGTGACTTCCAGCATCAAGCCGAGTGCACAACCTAACGCACTGACGGATTGACGCTGACCAGAAGTCATTCATTCCAATGGAGGTGAAAATGATGGATAGTAACGGACTAGCGCACAGCACAGCAGCAGTTCCGTTGACTGTCGGAGCGTAGAGGCGTTGGATTTTTCCTACATTGACAAGATGGGAAAAATGGAGCGTAACGGTGCTGGAAGTAGGAAATAAATTGCAATCGCAGTTGTAAACAAACAATATTTCATTTATTTAAGCAAAAGAAAAATAAGCATAAGCTTTTTTTCCACTATTAAAAGTGATTGTTGATCGTAGGTTGATTTCTATATTTTCGAATTTCGCGTTCATTTCTATATATATCAGCTCTTTCAATAGTACACTACTCAACTCGTCTCAGTTCAGTTGGCAATGTTACAGTGATAGTCAACATGAGAGATCTTCGCAGGAAGATATTGCTAGTTCGTCTGCTAGATGACTTTGCTAACAGCTCTCGCTGACAGCACGCTAGCTAGCTGCCCGCATCTGGCCAGGTCCGTCAACGACGTAACCTCATGGCGTTGTTCTGGGGGTGGGGAATGCGTTGGGGAAACGCTCCATTAAAACAGGAAAAATAGGTTGCACACCCGGCATCAGACATTGACATAAAAAGCCAAACTTTATCGTTAGCATGATACGCCATCAGGTGCTTATTCTGTATCAGCGGCTGGTGGACGGCAGCGTCAGGGGAAAACGTGGTGGGACAACAACGTAAGTTAAGGGGGTTGAAGTCCAAGTAGTGCAGATGGGAGGTGTGGTTGATGGGTCCAACAACCACTGACTTTCACCCTGGAGGCCGGTGTTCACTTCCCGTATGAATATAAAGCCAAACCCTGTTCTTTTTTCCAAAACCCAACCACTTGCTTTTGTTGGCTAAATGTAACCACATGTTTTGTAGTTTAAGCAAAACAAAGTGTGATTTTTTGGTGTTGTACCAATGTAGTTCTTTTATTTTGAAAGAGACTGTGTGTAAACTGTGCTTTTCTTGTGAAAACAGAGGTGTATTTTGAAAACAGACGCACTGATGCATGTAACAAGCTGAAGCTGACTCGGCATCCCAGAATGTCAACAACCAATGCACCCAGGGTACCTTGCACGTTGTATGTTGACGTGGAAAGTCCATCGCCAAATGTCACTATGCGACAAGGTCCAAGTGAGAATGTTGTTGATCTGCGGGTCCTCGGGTGACACGTTTCTCTTCATCCGGCTGATTTTTGCTGGCTCTCAGGCTGTTGCTTTAACTACAGATTGTACGTTCGCATTTTCATATTCTGGCCACCACGGACACAACGAGTATGAACGTAGATCATGTGAGAGAGCTGCCCCTTTCTCTCGATCTCTCAACTCTCTCAACAGACAAAACTTAGATTAAATAGTGAAACTAGGCAGTGCTGATCAAATATAAACCAAAATTCTGTTACTGTATTTACTGTAGCTTATATAGACCACGTAACTTGTCTGACTTTTAGTTTTACACGGGACATAAGCGGTGGTCTCCTGGGTGAAAGTCCTGTTTAACCCATCCATTGACACCAACCTCTTCTGTGTGCAGACTTTAAGGCTTTTCACCCTCAGTTCCTCCTTTGCTCCCATCATAACTACTCAAAGTCACCACCCAATAATAAATGTAAAAATAGACCTATAGACCAGATCACTGTGACGTCACTCTAACAATGACAAAAACTTACTGTTCCTGGTAGAAAACTGGCAGTTGATTACAATTACTGTTTATTTCTGTTGTCATTTTCATGACAATGGTGGTCACATGGTGGTCCGATCTAACTGACTTTTCTCCTGCGCTTATGTTATGTACTTTGTTGCGTTGCTTGTGTCTTCTTAACCAAATCTAATGAGATGGAAGCTGAACAGTATACTGCTGTGGACAGGGCTGCAGCAAAACATATTTTAGCCACCTAAAAGAATCCACATCAGTGTAAATGTACGCTACATTTCAATATTTGCTCCACTTTCCCTTACAGGTTAGCTCATCGGCGACACGGTAGACCAGCAACTCCAGTGTTCTGCTATGTAAAATTACTGTGTTTGTCAGTGGAGTCTGTGTCTTTGATGTAGTGGCTTCAATTCCCCGTCAGAAAAGACGGTGCAAATATTCTCAATATAATATAAACTTAAACTGATATTGATGTTTTTTGGTGGGCTTTTTTTTAGGTGGCTAAAGATGAAGTAATTGATTGATTTTGTGTGCATGATGCAGGGGGTTTCAACCCAGAACAAACATTTTGATTTGGTCTATATGGGTG